CAAAACAAAACACTGAGATACTGTGATGATGCTGTTGTGTGCCATCAAGCGGGACCTGACTCATAGTGACCCCTCCTTGGGTTTCCAAAGCTGTGTCACTGTGGAAGTAGATTGCCCAGCCTTCCTTCTGAGGAGTGGCTGGTGGGTTTGAACCACCAGCCTTCTGGTTAGCAGTCAAGTGCCTTAGGCACTAGATATCTCCGTATCTGGGATACTGTGATACACACACTGAAAAATTGTTGCGGTGACTCATTCTTCCTCTTCCTTCTTGTAGGTTTTACCTGATTGGTGGTGGCATCCCTGTCATAGTGTGTGGCATAACAGCAGCTGCAAACATCAAGAATTACGGCAGCCGGCCCAATGCGCCCTAGTGAGTATCCTGTATTCTCTGTGTACCCAACTCACTTGCTTTCCCTCCTAAGTATTTCACAGGCCTGGTGGTGCAGTGGTTAAAACTCTCGGCTGCTAACCAAAAGATCTGGTTGGAACCCACCAGCTGCTCTGTGGGAGAAAGATGTGGCAGTCACTTAGGTAGAGATTTATAGTCTTGGAAACCCTATGGGGCAGTTCTACTCTGTCCTGTCAGGTTTCTATGAGTTAGAATTGACTCAGTGGCAACATCTTCAGGGTTTGTTGCATGGAGCCCTGATGGCACAGTGGTTTAAACATTTGGCTGCTCATTGAAAGGTCAGTGCCTCAGACCCACCCACGTCTCCTTGAGACAAGTCTGGTGGCCTGCTCTCTCATAAAGATCACCTCCTTGAAAACCCACTGGAGCACTTCTGCTCTGTCACGGGGGTCACTCCTGGTCAGAACGGACTCAACAGCACACACGGCAACAACTACTGCAAGGCTTATTGGGACTTATTAGCTAGTTTGTTGGAATACGTAGCCACTGAGCTGGTCCTCCATTTTCTTTCCTAGTTGCTGGATGGCATGGGAACCTTCCTTGGGAGCCTTCTATGGACCTGCCAGCTTCATCACATTTGTAAACTGCATGTACTTTCTGAGCATATTTGTCCAGTTGAAACGACACCCTGAACGTAAATACGAGCTGAAGGAGCCCACTGAGGAGCAGCAGAGATTGGCAGGCAACGAGAGCGGTGAAGTGATGCACCAGGATTCCATGTCCTTGTCACTGATCTCTGCGTCCGTGTTGGAAAACGAGCACACTTTTCATTCTCAGCTGTTGGGGGCCAGCCTCACTTTGCTCTTCTACGCTGCTCTGTGGATGTTCGGGGCCTTGGCTGTTTCTTTGTATTATCCTTTGGACTTGGTGTTTAGCTTCTTTTTTGGAGCCACATGCTTAAGCTTCAGTGCGTTCATCATGGTTCACCATTGTATCAATCGGGAGGATGTTAGGCTTGCCTGGATCATGACTTGCTGCCCAGGAAGGGGCTCGTATTCAGTGCAAGTCAACGCCCAGCCTCCCAGCTCCAGCGGGACGAACGGAGAGGCTCCTAAGTGCACCAACAGCAGTGCAGAATCTTCCTGCACCAACAGAAGTGCATCAAGCTTCAAAAATTCCTCCCAAGGCTGCAAATTAACTAATTTGCAGGCTGCTGCAGCTCAGTGTCACACCAATTCTCTGCCGTTGAACTCTGTACCGCAGCTCGATAACAGCCTGACCGAGCACTCGATGGACAATGATATAAAGATGCACGTGGCACCTTTAGAAGTTCAGTTCCGAACAAACGTGCACCCCAGTCGCCATCATAAAAACAGAAGTAAAGGACACAGGGCCAGCCGACTTACAGTCTTAAGGGAATATGCCTATGACGTCCCAACAAGTGTGGAAGGAAGTGTGCAGAATGGCCTGCCCAAAAGTCGGCCAGGCAGTAACGAAGGACATTCAAGAAGTCGAAGAGCCTATTTGGCCTACAGGGAGAGACAGTACAACCCACCCCAACAAGATAGCAGTGATGCTGGTAGCACCCTTCCCAAAAGCAGCAGAAATTTTGAAAAGCCCATGTCAACGAGTAGTAAAAAAGATGCAGTGAGGAAGCCAATGGTAGTTGAACTTGAAAGTCAGCAGAAATGTTATGGCCTCAACTTGGCCATTCAGAATGGACCACTTAAAAACAACGGGCAGGATGGACCCTTGCTCAGTACGGACAGCACTGGCAATGTTAGGACTGGGTTATGGAAACATGAAACTACTGTGTAGCGTTGGTGGACTTCCTTGATAGAAATTCATATAAACTGTGATAGTCACATTCCTTTAAGCTATGAACTTCTAAAAGCAAACTGTTTACAGCCACCTTAGGGATTCAAAAGAATTTTGAATAAACTTCTAAGTTTTGGATTTTACTTATTTTATATCCCCAAAATGTTGCTTTTCTATAATTTCTAAAAAATTCTTTGAAAGCATTACTTTAGTTGTCAAAACACCAACCAGGTCATTTTGGGAATCTGAATGTAGTTTCTTAGAGCCTATAATACCTACTTAATGTTTCAGACTTGTATTTAATATAATAAATAGGTGTTTGTCATTGTGTCAATCTTAGAGTTTTATATTTTACAATGTAAGTATTTTAAGGAAGTTTATATATAGGGATATTTTCATGAGAATTATATGTAAATCAGTTATTTATTTTACACAGTTGACTCCACTGATTTTGGCATATAAAACAAAGGTTTATTGGATGGGTGTGTTTTATTCTCAATATAGTGTTAAAAGCTACCAGTTTTTAAAAAGACTTCACAGAATTCGTGTTTTTTGAGAGTGGTTCGTACCACAGAAACTTTTCCTAAACTGCATTTGCTTTGGTCATCAAATTTTAATCCTAGGAATCCTATTAACAGTTGCCTTTTCGTGATTTATGTTTGGGTTTGGTTTTCTTTATTGTTGTTGTTCTTAGTCCAGCATGTCCATTATTCTTGAGTGTGGCTGAAGAGCTTCCATGGAGGACTCACAGTCATTCATTCTGGAGTCTTCAGTATTGATTTTGTTTGATTGATTTTCTTCAAAAGTTCCATTTAGGTTCTTGGTAAAGATCTGGTATTTAAATTTCATTCTGTAGTGTAAAAATAGCTCTGATCCAAAACTTGTAATTGTTTGTTGAGCTTGCTGATGCCCCTACTATCTGCGTCTTCACCCATCTCCAGTCCAGAAACCCCCTGACACCTGTTTCAAAACTGTCCTGCAGATAAGATTGGGTTGGCCTTGCATCCTCTAGGCATTCCTTTCTCTCTGATAGGTGAGACACGGCTTAGTTCTGTTTTCAGCAGCTGTCTAACAGGTTGCCATATCAGAGAGCAGATTCAAAAGTAGATATTGAAGAAATGGTAGAAGAGTCCAGCAGTTGAGCTTGGTAAACCTTAAAATCTGAGAGATACTGCTTACTTAGCAATTCACAGAGACCACCAGGTCACCTTTAGAGTGTGAATGTCCACCTTTCATTGGGTTTCTGTATTAGAAGTTATTTGCTTTGGAATAATAAAACTGATATACTTTGTCAACATGTTGCGAGGTGATAGTTTTAGAGATGTTCTTTTCGGTGGTGAGAGCAAGGCAAACCAAACAGATAAATATGCCATTTGTATACAGAGCACAGGGATCCCTGGGTGACACAGTTAAGTGCACGACTGCTAACCAAAACGTTGGTAGTTTGAATCCACCCAGAGGCATCTCAGAAGACAGGTCTGGCTGCTTCTGACAGGTCACAGCCTTGAAATGCCTACTGAGTGCCATTTTCTGACATGCTTAGGGTTGCTGTGATTCAGAATTGACTCAAAGACAACTGGTTGGGCTTTTTTTTTAAAATTTACATAATACTGCCTGATAAGGAATTCTAGTGGCATAGTGGTTAGAGTATTTGTCTGCTGACAATAAAAAAAGATTGGCGGTTTGAAACCATCAGCTGCTCTGCAGGAGAAAGATGAGGCAGTGTGCTTTTGTAAAGATTTACAGCCTTGGACACCCTATGGGGCAGTTCTGCTCTGTCTTAGAGTGTTGCTGTGAGTTTGGATTGACTTGATGGCAGTGGGTTAATAATGCTGCCTAGTGTTGTGTCTCCTGGTAAGTTGATATACATGTGAGGGATGATATTTAGAAATGACAGGAGATAAGCTAGTATGAAATGGAATGAGAATTCTTATTTCCTTATTACTGTTTTTATTTTGCCATGTTATTCTGACATACAGTATCCCGTCTTTGACCTGTTTCTCTGACCCACTGGTCAACCCTAGGTAGAGAATTTTGTTCCTTCTCTTCTTCCTACCGCCACTTCCTGACCATTCAGTAAGCATTTATTAACTCAAGCACAGCTTTCCATAGGTGACAGAAAGAACAGGAGTCTAGAAAAAAATTAACTGGAAAATAAGCAAAATATTTGAAACAAAGGAAGACCCTACTGGAAATATGAGAGGTTCCATCATGTGCCATACAGAAGTGATGAGTGATGATTCTGTGCTTAGCATTTGATTGAAGTGAAGCTTGATGTTTGGGCGCAGAAGGGAACACCCTCCCCATCTTTGTCATTTATGATTAATGGTTTGTTGCTGGTTGAGTTTTCTCCTTTTTCCACAGAATCATAGTCTTTCTGAGGACATTCCTTTTTTTCATTCATTTTCTCTTTTAAAATCTTTGGCAACTGAGGCCCAAAGAATCTGTGACTTGCTGAACATCCCCAGGTGATTATGCCATATCCTGGACTTGGACCATGTTTGTTGATACCAGGGCCACTGGGCTTCACATCACGTCTTCTCACTTCTGGCAAGGCACTTCGCTCATGCACTGCATAGCATTTATGATCTGTGATGTTTTCGTACTTCATTCACATCCTGGTGGTGGTGTTTGATTTTTGAAGAGGAGGTATATAGGTGGTTATATTCTACTAAAAAGGAGCTCTGGTGGTGCAGTGCCTAAGGCACTTGACTGCTAACCAGAAGGTTGAAGTTCAAACCCACCACCTGCTCTGCAGAACGAATATGGGGCAGTCCATTTCCATAAAGATTTACTGCCTTTGAAACCCAATGGGTGTCGGCTATGTGTCGGAAGTGATTCTAAGACACTGAGTTTAGAGTTTTTGGAGTTTGATTCTACTAAAAGCAACACAGTTGATTATTCTGTTATCCCATGAAAATTGTGTTTTATTTTTTTAGTTACTTCATTATACTCTGTATTACACTATACATAACTGGATTGAGAAACCTAGTAAGTATATGTGGCCCTATTTTTACATAACAATTAGAAATCAGGGTTGTGCATGGGTATTTTTGTGAGTATATTTTGTGAGTATATACACCTATGTAAGTCTTTATTACTATTTCATGTCATTAATACGTAGCAACTGATTTCTAAATCTGAAAAAATATAATGTGGCAGTGGTGGTTCAGTGATACAATTCTCACCTTCCATGCGAGGGACCTGTGTTTGATTCCTGGCCAGTGCTCATCATGTGCACTTGTGTCACTATGATGCTGAACAGGTTTTGTCACAGCTTCCAGACTAAGACAGATGTGGTGTATTAAATTACATAGTGTGGCTATTCTAGCTGTAAGTCTTTGTAAACTCCACGGTGGAATTTGCTGTGAGCAACTGAGTAGCTCCTGATTGTTAAAGTTATGCACCTGGGGTATTTCTGGTGGGAGTGGCATGAAGCGATCTTCAGGGAAGTTCTCTCTCTCTCTCAGGTGTACAGAATTCTGATAGTGGGATTGCTTAGTTTGGCCACTCTGCCAGGCTCAAAAGGAGCCCTCCTAGAGGCAGAAGGAGTCTCTCTGACTACCGCCTGAGAAAGACATAGAGAAATGTGCTCCTAAGAGACATGAGAGACACATGCTGCTGAGAGAGAGAAGTGAGAGACTTGCACTGCTGAGAAAGACCCGAGAGACATGCACTACTCAGAGAGAGAGAGACACACGCACCACTGACAGAACGATGTGCTATTGGGACTGCCGGCTGCTAAGTGAGACAACCATCTGCAAGAGACGGACTGCATTTCTGAACTTGAATTGTAGTCTGGTGCTTCCCTAATAAATCCCATAATCTGTGAGTTCTGTGTGGCCACTGCAGCGAATTATTGAACCCAGCAGGGAGGTGGTGGGTACTGCAGGAGGAATAGTTGGTGTCAAGGCTGATGAAAGGGCTGGAGGGAGGCAGCATGTCTGGCCTTGCAGGAATAGGCCTTGGGCTACTGATGGTGGTTCTGTCCTCCTCTTGTGGGGTTAGAGGAGGTCAGAAGATGTGACCTCCTTGCTTCTTTGACAACAGACTTCTAAGAAAGGCCTGCTGATCAACTTATGAAAATCAGCCAGTGCAAGCCCTTGGGGTCACAACAGTCCCATCCACATCTACTCATGGGATGGCCCCAAACCAGGCAGCATTGAATTCTTTTGTGCGTGGGATTGCCATGAGCCCAGGGTCTACATGATGGCAGCCAACAACAACAATCTCGTAACAGACAGGAATGTTTGTACAGAAGCTGAGGTTTAGATTGGATTCATGGGGAAAGAACAATGTTTGATATTCGGACCTATTTTTTTTCGATCTGACAGTTGAGATCATTATGACAAAGTGAAAAAGTGAAAGCATCAGACACAATTATTAAATCATCAAGGGAAGTGCTGCATAAAACAGCAATCCAAAATTTAAAATAAATATTCATTCTGCTTTTCATATTCCTAGAATCACTTAATTATTTCAATAGTTGGTCCAAAGCTCTTATCTGAAATATGATTTGATTACTTACAATTACTTTAGATTATATTTTCCCAACTGGAGTCATTCATATGTCACTTTAACTAAATTAGCCACATTTTTACATTTATATTTATTGCTATTATATGGATCAGCTCACTTTTTTTACATTAAATATTAGTAAGTCCAATAGATTTATTTCTATAAATAAACTTGAGAAATTGGAACTGTTTATGACCCATCAGTACTGAAGATCTCTGAATGCATGTGGCTTGATTTAGACAAAGAAGAGATTGCAATCAATAGGAAGGTTTTGTTTTTTATAATGTGCATATTAACTGTCTAGAATCTTCCTCTCAATTCATCTAGGGACCCAAGTCTAGAACCAGATCTTATATTGGCTGAGGGAAGCTCCTGGCCAGTGATGATTTGGGGATCTAGGAGACAGTTGATTGACGGTCACACAGTATGTGGAGGACTCGTCTAACTATTGCTTTGTAGATATTACCCTAGTCACTGCAGGC